AGTAGACAACAAGCCATGCATATATATTTGTGTTTTATTGGAAGGGGAGTACAAGCAAAGGGGGAAACCCCCTAAAAACAGATTTTCTACTTTCCTCATGTCACGATCGAACTAATAAAACACAGAAACATCTGCTGTATGAGATGCTTTGGATTATTTCCTATGTATTTTGGATAGTTCCTTTATCAAGAAGAATTCTATAATGTGAAATGCCAACCTGATCTTCTTCTTTCCTCAGAAAAAAAATAGTCAGTGTTTTATCTAGAACCTGAAAGTATGAAAAAAGTAGAAAATCTGTTTTTAGGGGGTTTCCCCCTTTGCTTGTACTCCCCTTCCAATAAAACACAAATATATATGCATGGCTTGTTGTCTACTCTGATAAGTCCCAGGGATACAATCAATTTAGTCTCTATATTTCGTATATGGCAAAATTGTCATTCCTTATTTCCTTTATATTTTTACAAATATTTATTAATGTAAGTTGAATATATATAACAAAAAGATCAATAACAGAAAAAAATGTTTTCCTCCGTGGCTCGTTTTTATGATCCAGTTCCACTGAGTATCCTAGAGCAAACACCCTCATTTTTAAAATGAAATGATATAGGAAATTTAGTCCTGGGTTTTTCCATTGCAAAAAACAGTGGAACGGCATCTGAGCAAATGGTGGGACAGGGAAATGAATGGATAGTTTGGAAGGTCTCCTCTGGGGAATGATCCTCATTCACTCAGAAGCTCTTTCTGCTTCCATTCTTGGAACATATCGAATTTGCTAAAGGTTGCTTTGTTCTGTTATCATAAACTTAATTTTAAAAAACATTTTTTCTATAGGCAAGATTGGCGGCAAGTGACAAAACTAACAAACATCTGGCAATTAGAAATCATCCTTAGACATACCTGTACAAAGTCACTTTCCAACATGGGAGCAAACTTGAGTAAGTCGTATTCTCCATGGCAAAGCTGGTCTTGTAAAGGTCCCATTTCCCTGCCGAAAAGTCCTTTCCCATACTCTCCTCCAACTGAGACACTGGGCAGCCGGGACCGTAGCATCTTTCATCATCCTAAACCAGCATTGTGCATAGAAAATGTGAGACCAGAATTTTCTATGACTTAATAGCCCTCCAGAGTCAAATGGTTGGATGGCTATATAACTGCAAATTCCATAGCTAATCAGAAAATCTACCTAAATGTTTGGTAACAGCTGTTCAGAAAGCCGCAGCTTGACTTGTAGGAAACTTAAAAGCTTCATAAAACTTCCTTATTAAAATAGCTCCTATTGTCTAACTGCCTGCTTTTAAGCAAAATTCAAAATCTTGGCTAAGAATTATACAGTGCTCTGTTATTATAGATGACATTTTTGAAGGGCAATATTCTTTCTTTTGAGCCTGCTCCAGTATAATTTTTTCCAAAAAAAGATTCTTCTGTTAAACTTACTACTCTCAAGGTGTTTAGAAAGAATGAAAAAAAAACCCCAGCCTTCCTAAGAGTTTGCTCTCCAGGTTTTTGAGCTCATTGCCAAAGGAAATAAGGTTAGCTTTTTCTGAAATAGACAAAATATTTTTATCTGGGCCAAACTCTTCAATTGTGTTTTTAAACATGTTTAATGAAGCTTTAAATCTGGGTAGTGAGGCGAGTGTCATATAAATTTAATAAGTAAAATGCATTTTATCTCTGTCAATGTGATAAAACATATACATAATTTATATATGTGTGCATGTCTTGTATTTTACATACAATGGCATTTCTTAGTTGAAGATTGGTGCTGGGCACCAATTCAATAAATAAATGGTACATGAAGGTGGAACTTATTGACCATGATGTTATTCTTTGACCTTGTCAAACTTGGAACTTTGAGAAGGTCTCCGAGTGTAACATCCATCATTCCTAAAGAGAATACTAATTTGAGGTGATAGAAGTTGTAGGTATCAATATTTCTGTAGAAGACTAGGATGGAGAAAGCTGGCACACAGGCTTATTTGGAAGTACTTTAAACTTAATTAATTTATCCAGCTAAACAACTATTGGTTTATTTTAGACATTCCAAATCTGTGCTTTCATAAAATGTCTAGCAGATCATCAAGAGAGCAAAAGATAGGATTCAACAGATTTTGGCTCCTAAAACTCTAATATTCTTAATTTAAAATTACAATTTTTAAAACAGCAGCATAGTCAATATTTAAAAAATTCAACACAGCATCTTAATTAAAAGCAGCTTGTAATAAATGTGATTCAATGCCCAATTAATGGTGAAATTATATTTCTTGGCAAGAAGTTCCAGAGATAAGAGATATTGATTGCAAAGTTTCCCTCATTAAACATAAAAGTAACTGCAATAATCCAGACATTTCCCATTTAGAAGGCTGAAAGGGGTGATATCATATCTATGAATTATTCCCCTGTGCACAATTACCATTTATTGACAGGAAAGGCAGCCACAGAAGTGAATGATTTAATATTATTTTTTAACTATCTTGCATCACAGCAGATTCAAATTTATTAAACTGAATTAGTTCTCATAATCAGATTTTAATCATATATGATGCTTAATAATTAATTGCTGTTTATGCATATGTATGAAGGACTACTTGACAAGGAAGGGCTTCTTCAAAATAGATTTTGGGTGCCAAGATCAAAAGAGCAGAATAGAAAATTTTGAAGGTCTGTTGATAGACTTGGGGCATGGGAGAAAAGCTGCTTAACTTTTGTTGATCTTTTTTCTTTAAGGCTTCTTTGCCGTTACTGGATCTTATACACAGTTTTTAGATGATCATTTTTGTAGCCATTTAAGATGACTTCAGCTAGCCAGAACCTCTATACCCCACCCCCAAATCTAGGACTCACTGATTGTCTTTATGGAGCTTGTAATGTATGTTCTTCAGTGCTTACTGCCCAGAGCTGCTATATTTATGCTTCCTCTGTTTTGCCTTGGGGGCAATTTTGTGATGTCATCATTGTCTTTATGACCTTTTTAGCCAAAGGATGTGTGGGAAAGTAAATAGGAAAGAGTTGGTGGGAGCAAGTCTATACTCACCTATCAGCTAAATTCAAGATATAATGAAGTTCCTTTGTCCCACATCAAGAAGCTTCCTTGTTTTCCCTGAAGAGATTCTTGTTGAAGCAAGAGTCAACGTCGCAATGATACGGACGTGTGGTCTCAATGCCCCAAGACCGCTGCTGATACTTTTGCCACTGGATGGTCCAATCAGACCTAAACTGTCCCATAGAGATGGTGAACGGGAAGAATACGTCTTGCTGATTTCAGGGGCACCACAAAGTCCCTGATTGATTCAAGAGAAGTTCTTCAAGCTGGTGACAAAAAGTCCAGCCCCAGGCTGATGAAGTTGGGATGGCTCCGGAATGGAAGGGAAGCAGAAAGAGAAAGTGTGTCCATCTGGTGAGGAAACTTTACTGTTTTTAAAAAATTTACATTAAATCTGAAAGCAGAAGAAAACAAGCAGTGAAATTAACCTATATTGGATTGCTTTGGATAGTGTTTCTTTTTCTTTGTAATTCTCTTTGTGGATTGAAGTGCTTGCAACTTTTTTTTTCTTTTTAAAGAGAATGGATCAGTTTTTCTTCTTTTTTATTTTTATTTTTTAATCTATGGATTAAAGTCTTCTTCTTTATTTCAAAAAATACTTTTATTTCCCACTATTAATTCCATTTAAGAACTCTGTTTCTTTTAAGTTTGAAAAAACATTAGAGAGTGGGAAGCAATAATGCCACTTGGAGGTTGGAAGCTTAAGTTTTTAAAACAATGCACTTTTCCTTTTGATCTTACTGACTTTGTATCTCAAGGCTCGGCAACTTGTTTATAGAAAGTGATAAGCAGAAAGGGCATGAATTTTTATACAGGTGCACTTTGAGAGTCTTACTGGTAGTGGGAGAGAAAAAGAAACAGAACTTTCTTTTTTGAAGATCATAAATGAATTTCTGTTTAAGCTAATTTAATATAAGAAGCCTTGAAAGCCAGAGTGGCAGTATCTACCAGCTTGCCAAAATGGCACAATATTCAAAAGAAACATTAACTTTGCAAAACATCCTGGCCGGAATTTAAAATTTATTAGAAATATTAGAGAGAATCGAGAAGAAGATGGAAAAATTAGAGTTTATAACAGCAAAAATTGAAGGGGAAAATGATTACAAAGACAAGATAACTGATTACTTTATCAGTGGAGTGAACGTGGTTGAAAATGGGAAAGGGGGAGTATGGAAAAGAGAATTAGATCGACAGGAACTCTACCCCGGATTTCAAGGCATGGAAGAAGAAAAAGAGGAAAAAAAATGACGGATTTAAGGAGACAAAACTTCTCAGAAGCATGATTGACAACCAAAGATAAGCTGATTAAAATAGCAGATGGAGGGCATCGAGATTACTTAAGTGATGCTGCAAGCAACAAGGTGCAGAGAGAAGTCCACAAAAATTTTATTAAGGAAATAAATAGAAGATCAATTCCACAAATGATAAAAGAAATAAGTGTATTATTACTGGAAGGATACAGGCTGATATATGAAAGTTAATAATAAAAATTAGTTAATTTAAGTAATTAGTGGTTAGTAATTTAGTGCTATGTTAAATAAATAATTGATAAGGATAATAAGGTACATACGCGTGTTGGTTTGATGAGAGGAAATTTGATATAACTAGTGAATGAATTTCTGTTAAGAAATAATAACTATAACAATGAAATGACAAGGGATATAGTTAACAATATATATATATATATACTGGTTTAATAAAAGGAATTGGGATATAAATTGTAAACAGCAATTTGGAAAGGAGGATTAGAAACCTTGTTATCAAACATAAATAATTTTTACTTAGAACATGCTATAAAGGGGTAATGTTATTGGATGATATTAGAAATAACTAATGAAATGTCATTATGTGGTTGTGTTTTTAATTTTGGACGATTTCATGCAAAAGGATGTTAAATGAGAAGCGTGGTATGTTGATAGTAAGATATATAAAGATTTTTGATTTAAATTATATATTATGTGATTTGAATTATAAGTAATGACTGTGGAAGAGATGCATGAAAGTTATTTGTAACCAATCAAGACACACTTCTACAATATGTAACGAAAGATGATTTTTGTGTGTGTTGTGTTTGTCTGTTAAAAAATTCTTTTTTAAAAAAAAAAAAAAGCTTCCTTGTTTTTCCTGGAGAAGATGCTTGCTTTTTAATTTTGGGAATTGACGTCCATCCATCTTAAAGTTGCTGAGGTCTAGAAACACTGATCTACTTTTGCAGACAGTCATTACCAGCAGCTTCAGCAAATCTTAGCCACAGTGAGGGATGCTGGAAGTAAAATCTTTGGAGCCACAAATTCCCCAGCTGGAGAATATGAATCATTGCCGACAAATTGGATGAAATGTAATGCCTATTGTTCATAGCAGCTTTCCCCTCCACTTCAGGGCACATGGATGGGAGTCCTGAAGTAAGACATGCTTGTTTGCGGCTTCCTTCCTCTCCATCTAGCAGAAGAATTTTCCTTCTTGATTCATCTCCTCCCATTGGATAATGGCTGTGGGAAGGAGCAAGGCCTTGCAGGAAAGACAGAATGGAAGTTTATAGAACTGGGAGGTGTTATATAGCTTCGTAAGTCCTCGCACTTACGATTGACAGCTTGGCAGCAGCCAGGCGCGTCTTGACCAATCAGACGCGCCTGTGGGTTGCCGGGCTGTCATATGAGAGGCGATTGGCTAAACGGTTTGACAGCCGAGTATAAAAGGCTGCACAACTCCGGAGACTATCCGATCTACTGTACACAACTACATAGACTGTCTGGTCTACTGTTTGTTACTGTTGCTAACGTTCTTGTTACATTAAAACGGTTACTGTTACTCAGACGCCTCTGATTCTTGTAGCGATCTAACACTGGCGACGAGGACTTGGGAACTGGCTCTGAGAACAACCTGTAACCAAAAAAAAAAAAAAAAAAAAAAACAAGCAACGTTTTAAAAGGCGTTTTGTTCAAATTCAACGCATTTTTTTCTCTCTCGTCTTCTCAGCTGCATCCAGAATCGCCTCAGACAATCCTGATGG